AAGAACAAACTTCTTGGATGGGGTGTTAGTACAGCAAATTATTTCTCAGATAGTTCCTTTTAAAAATGTTCCAACAGCATTGTGGTTCAGTTTTGTTATTCAAATTAGCTGTAGCCTAGCACACAGCTAGCATGTAGCTGCATGTAGCTGTTTGTCAAAATTGTCTCAACCTTGTAGTTGTCTCTCATGACATAATGAACTTATTGATCAATCATCTGTCAAGTCGTCAGAAACATAGAATTTTCTAACTGGTTGCCAAGTGGTTCTTCAAGATTGCTATCAATCACTAGGTAAAACTGGTAACAGAGGTAGAGCCATTGAGTAAGCTGTGTCAGAGAGGTTATGGTTAGAATTGTCATGTGATACAAGGAGACTTCAAATAGTTCCAGCTGTGCTTCGCAGCAAATTTAAATCAAGTGACAGGTCGTCGATTTTTACAGCATCTAAATCTCCTAATGTTTTGGTAGACCTACCAATATATTAGGCATGCATTGTATGGCACAAGTTAATTTTATCAGAGTGTACTGACAGCATGGAATTGTACTTTTAAACATCTTACCTTTAAAAAGTATATCCCAATCTTCTGTGCAGCTATATTTTGATGGTACGGCCAGCGTACGTTGCTAACCTCTGGCACTATTGTGAGGCTCCACGGTCCACTGTTGTTGTAAAAAATGGTCCATTGGAGTGAATGGAGATGACGCGACTCTTCCATTCAGGGTGCTGCACCACAAACCTTGTTACTTGTATGCAAACCCTCACTAACTACTAGCCGAACAGTAGTGAAACTCAAAAAGGTTTAATGAAAACTGGAAACAGTAATCATTTGCTTTCAAAATAAATATTCTGCCTCAGTGCTGGAGCCCACATGAGGTGTAACTTTTACTTGAATGCAAATAGTCTCCATTTCCCATTTGTCTTACTTTTTGCAATTCTACTAGTGCTCGGAGAGTACATGGCAGGTGCTTTGCAGACAATTCGAATTTCTGGCGACCTATTAGTGACCAAAGTAATTGCAAGAAGGCTTTTGGTGCAGTACTGTTTACTTCTTTGTGCCTAATTTCACACAGCAACAGCAAACAACATCTCACACATTTTTTGCATAGTGGCTTTAGCACTTGTCTTCAGATTTATTGCCAACAACCTCCAGACA